GCAGTGATTTATGAAAGGTCACACAGCGAGGAACCAGAACCAGCCTCCTGACTCCTCCCCTCCCGGCCTCCTCCACGCTGTCTCTCCTCATCCACCAGAGGCCGAGCAGCTGGCTCAAAGCCTGCAGGGGCGGGGTGCAGGGGCCTATGTCACGAGACTCTGTAAAGTGCACCCTGACTTCCAGGCACCCCACTCATCCTGGACAAAGTTGAGAGCCACACATCTAATCCAGCCACTCCTCCTGCTTTGTGCAAATAGGGAAACTGAGGCCCAGAGACAACAAGGGGCTTCCCAGGCCACACAGCAGGCTGATGGCAGAGCTGCGAGCAGAGTTTGCATTCCCCTGGCCCCAGCTGCGTCCTCCTGTGTTGGGGCTTTGCAGCCTGCGCTGTGTTGTGTGAATCGCAGCCTGCCAGCCCACTCCCCACAGCTTCGAGATTAATAACCCGTAATTTGACCGCGCCTAGGACCAGCTCTCCAGCTCGCCACCTAGTGGCCAAACCGAAAGCCACGGGCTACTGTTGAAAAGAACGTGTCCCAGGGCAGAGCAGCTCTAAAGATAGAATGGGGGGACTGATTGGAGTGTTTCCAGGAAATTCATATTAAAACAAGCAAATGAACAACAACAACAACAAAAACCAGAAACCAATCAAACTTCTCTAGGAAGCACGTCTAAGAGCCGTGCCCTCCCCCACCCCCATCACGCATGCCATCCCCTGGTGGCTCTGAGCAGGGGACGCGGCACATGAGGACAAAGCAGTCTCCTGTGACATGACAGGCTGGACCAGTGGACCCAACGGCCCCACGTGCCGAAGTTAAGTTACTCAGAAATATGAATCTACCCTCCAGATGGAGCACCAGGTGGTCTCCAATCTGGGGAGAGGGACACATGGTCACACTTTGGATCCTGGGCGCCAGCACCCCCAGGGACTCCCCCACTCCTGGGCTCTGAGAGACTTTGCAGACTGTCGGCTGAGAGGTGGAATCAGGCTCCGGAGCGGGAAACAGACACACGCGAGCACACGTGTACACACACACACACACGCACACACACACGCTGGCTCGGTCACATGGGGCCTCCCCGCGGTGGCCATTAGCAGGAAGGAGGCCCCTGAGGACAGACTCTGAACTCCTCCCTGGGCTTTCTGGGCCACCGAGCCTCTGTAATTGGAGCCGCCAGGAGCACAGAGAACGTCGGGCACAGGGTCAATCCCTGCCCTTCTCCAGAGACCAGGGCGGGCTGGCACTGGGGGCCAGGAGCGACCTCACAGCCGGGGAGCAGCCTAATGAGCTCCTCACTCCGCAGGAGAGGAAGCGAGGAGGACCGAGCAAGGGGACGCACAGACACACACACCCTCACAGGCACACCCCCCACATGTGCTCTCATGTGCACACACCCACGTGTGCACACACACCTCACATGTGCACACGCACCCCATGTGCACACACAGCCTCACGGGCACACACGCCTCACATGTGCACACACACCTCACATGTGCACACACACCCACATGTGCACACACAGCCTCACGGGCACACACGCCTCACATGTGCACACACACCCACATGTGCACACGCACCTCATGTGCACACACAGCCTCATGGGCACACAGACACCCTCACAGGTACATACTTGTGCACACACCCTCACGTGTGCACACACATGCACACATGTATTCTCCCACAGACACAGACCGTTTCATGCACCGTCACACATGTAGAGAAACCACCCATCAAGTGTGAGCCCCACATCCTATGTTCTATTGTCCCTTAAGCCTTCTCCCACTCTCACGTGTCCCCTCACACCGCTGTTCCGTGCTTGTCAGAATGCAGGGTCGTGTACAAATGCCTTCGGGTGCAGCCCCCGCTACCCACACACCTCTGGAAGGTGACCGGGGCTGTGGTCCCATGGTGGCTGCTCCCTGAGGGCAGCCCCTGCCTTCTCCCAGGACAGAAATGGGGCGTGCTGAGGGTGGGGGCCAGGAGAGATGTGGCCCCTGCTCCGGACCCTCACTGCTGAGGTCCCTCCTGCCCACCCGGCTGCCCAAGCCAGACACTCCACCCTTGGGGCCTGGCCTGGGCCTGGGAACAGCCCTTCCATCCATTCACTCCGCTGCTTCCCGCCTGCCCCTGCCCAGCCCCCGCCATTCACCTGCCCCCACCACTGGAGAGTCCCGTGTCTAGCTCACCCCACCACCTCCGGGACCCTCCCTCACTCACCCTCCCTCGGCTCCCCTCACCCTTGGGCACGCGAGGCAGTCTGCGCCTGGCCCTGGCCCCTCCAGCCTCACGCCCCAGCCCTTGGTCCCACCCCGGGCCCCCAGCAACACGCCGCTCCCGCTGCCCCGCCGCACTTCCCACACGCACACTCCACCCAGCCCGCCTACCCGACCCCGCGCCCCACTGGGGCTCAGTGCACACAGTGCTTTCCGGGGGGCCCCGACCACCCAGACCCACTCTCCCGCCCCCACACCTTGCTCCACCCCCGGCACCTCTGTCTGGTCCCGGCACAGGGCAGCCACTCAATACGCTGCTGAGTGTGTCCATTTAACACGGATTTTCGGAGCAGCTTCTATCCACCAGGCAAAGCTCTGGGTGCTGAGTGAGCGGAGTCCGCCTTCTGGCCCATTTCCCAGTGAAGGCAGGTGGGCAGTGTTGGGGAAGGGGTCTGGTTGGAACTGGGACTCCAGTTTGGTTCCTGGCACTGATCTGCTGTGTGACCTTGGGATGGCCATGACCCTCTCTGAGCCTCAGTTTCCTCATTTGTTAAATGTCATAAAGATGGTTTTGAACTAGATGATCTTTAAGGAGCCTTCTGGGGTTGGTGGGGGTGAAAAAGATGAGAGAAGCTGGCCCCAGGATGGCCTTTCTGGCCCCAGGGCTGGTAGGGGAGTGGGGACAGTGCTGACTGCAAAGGAGGGTCAGGTGCCAGGAGACCTCCCCTCTCCTGCAGATGCAGGGCAGAGACGCAAGGGTTCAGAGAGGACCATGGAAAGAGCTGGGCTTAAGACAGATAGAACTCTGTTCAGACCCCTGCCCTGCCGCTGAATCACTGTGTGACCTTATGCAAGCCACTTAACTGCTCTGAGCTGCACACAGGTTGTTGAGCCATCAGATACCAAGTGCCTGGACCACAGGAGGTGGGTAGGGGCTTATAAAAGCCCCATGGAGTCACGGCCCTCCCCCCTCCTTCCCTCGACCCCCACCCATTCCCAACACAGGGCAGTGGAGGAGCCAAAGGATCCACTGGCTCCGGCCTTTGCTACTCCCTGGCAGTGCATCTCTGTAAGCTTTCGTCTCCAAGTTTCATTTTCCCATCTGTAAAATGGGAACAGCCCACCTCCCTCACAGAGTGATTGTAAGGCCCGAAACAGGCATGGAGATGAAAAGTGTGTAAGGCTGGGAAGATGGCAGGGCTTGTAGTTGCAAGATAACATATCTTTTTTTTTTTTTTTTTTTTTTTTTTTGTGACAAGCTCTTATCTGTTGTTACCCGGGCTACAGTGCTATGGCGTCAGCCTAGCTTACAGCAACCTCAAACTCCTGGGCTCAAGCAATCCTTCTGCCTCAGCACTCCCAAGTAGCTGGGAACCTACAGGTCATTGCGCACCCATGCCCGGCTAATTTTTTCCAGTATAATTTTAGTTGGCAGTTAATTTCTTTCTATTTTGTAGTAGAGACAGGGGTCTCACTCTTGCTCAGGCTGGTTTTGAACTCCTGACGCTTGAGCGATCCACCCCACCTGGGCTTCAGAGGCTAGGATTACACAGGTATGAAGCCACTCTATGCCTGGCCAACTAACTTCTCTTATATACTACGGTGGGTGAGGTATGTGGATGGATGTGGGATGGATGGATGATGGTGATGGATGGATGATGATGGATGGGAGGATGAACAGTTGGATAGGTGGGAGGATGAACAGGTAGATGGATAGATGGGCGGGTAGATGGATGGACAGGTGGGAGGATGACTAGGTGGAGGGATGAACAGTGATGGATATGGCGGTAGGATGGATGGACATGAGATGATGTAGAGGATGAACAAGTGGATGGATAGTGGTGGGTAATGGAATGACAGGTGGGAGGATGGATAGTGAGATGAAAGTGTGGATGGATAGATGGCGGTGATGGATGACAGGAGGATGTGTTGGAGATGACAGGTGGATGGATAGATGGCGGGAGAGGATGACAGGGGAGGATGATGGTGGAGGATGAACAGCGTGGATGATAGCATGGCTGGGTAGATGGATGGACAGGTGAGGATGGATGTAGGAGATGAACAGCGTGGTGGTAGATGGCGGTAGAGATGGACAGGTGGAGGATGGATGGTAGAGGATGAACAGTGATGATAGATGGCGGGTAGATGGATGGACAGGTGGGAGGATGGATGGGTAGGAAGATGAACAGGTGGATGGATAGATGGGTGGGTAGAGGGATGGACAGGTGGGAGGATGGATGGGTAGGAGGATGAACAAGTGGATGGATAGATGGGCGGGTAGAGGGATGGACAGGTGGGAGGATGGATAGGTGGGTGCATAGGAAGATGGAACTATGGGTAGACGGGCGGATGGGTGGAGGACAGAGTGCAAGTTCTAAGTCAGTCACCATGAGTGAGGCAGGCAGGTTTCGTTGCCCCGGTGAGTGCTCCACAAGACCTTTCCTCAAACTGAGCAGCTTCTTTTCCTACACATGCTCATCTTAACATCCAGGGAAGGCCACTCCCCCTAAGGCATCTTTCATCCCTGAAGACCCAGACTCCCCAGCACTCTGCAATCCAAGTCCTTTGGGGACGCAGAGGCACCAGGGCCACCTCCAGCATCTTCAGGCCCGAATACTGGCCCACGAGCCCTCTGAGAGCAGGGTCACACCTATCCAGACACCGCAGGGTCCTGAGCCCAGCAAGGCCTGGCCCTGGAAGGTGCTGGTCAGTGCTCTCCGAGTGAATGAGCACGGGGCCGCCTGGCTGGGCCAGGGCTGGGTGGGTGGGGCGGGGCCAACTCACTGGGCACACGGTTGATGGCTTTGAGGGGCCTCAGGACACGCACTGTACGGATGGCCGACAGGTTGATGTTCTGAAGGTCCAGGGAGTACTCGACCATCCTGCAGAGAGAGGGGAGGACAGTGAGGGACAGTGCCGCAGGGACAGCCGGGCCGGGGCTGGGCCACAGCAGTCCCCAGCCACATAGCTCACCCACGCCTGCCTGGATGGGCCAAGTGCCTCGGTCAGCGTGTGGCCTTCCCGTCCCCTGTGCAGGGGACCGGTGACAGACACAGTCGGGGGCAGAGGGAGCAAAGGGTCCCACTGTGCACCCAACATGGTGCCAGGGACTCCTGCCCTTTAGGCCTATCCTCTGACCTGTTACCCGGGCCAGACCCGGCTTCCAGAGCAGCCTCTGAAACGGGGAGGGACATCTCCGTCACCCAGCGGGTCCACACCCCACACCCCACCCACGCTCAGCCAGCTCTCTGGAAGCAGTTTGCCTCTTCCAGGAAGTCCTCCCAGATCTCCCACAGGAGGCAGATCTCTGGGGCCCCCTCTAGCTCCCTGGGCTTCCACTGGTTTTCACCTGCTCAGTGCCACCTGCCTCCCTCCCCACTGAAAGGACAGGCCCTCAGTGGGGGGATGGGGGCGTGCCAGGGCTGCAGCCCAGCGTGACCCCGGGTGCCCCCATCCCCGGACCCTTCCCCCCACTCCCCCACGCGGGCTCTAGCACTGCTGCCAGCTCCACCTGTCACCACCGGCAGTGGGAAGTGAAGGCTTTTCCTACACACCGCACAAACCTGTCCAATTGTTGTGAAGCCGCGGCCCTCTCCTGCTGCTCGAGGAGTAATTGAGTGAAAGCTCCTTTGCCTGAAACGCTGCCACCAGCCAACCCCACCCTCCGGAGCGCAGCCTCCCCTGTGCATTCCGTGTGTGTCTCTCTCTCACAGCCACGCACCTGCACACGCTCGCACTCACTCCTTGGACACCCTCATCCGTGCACACTCCTACTCAGATGAGGGGGAGTGACCCAAAAAAGTGACAGACCTAGAACCAGAGACAGAGACCTGGGTGCCAAGGGGGAGGGAGGAAGGATGAGGAGGAAGAGTGGGGGGGAGGAGGCGGCGGGGGAGCGGCGGCACCAGGCAGAGGGGCGGGGGCAGAGGGTGGCCTGGAGGGCAGCGAGGGATAGGGCCGCCTGAGGATTCTGCGTGGGTGAGCCAAACTGTCATTTCTGTATTTTGTAGCAGGAGCTCTCCAGGCAGCCGGGAGACGCGAGTGACGCGGAGGGGCCGCGGGGGCGGCGCACACGGGCACACAAACAGGCCGGGCTCCAGCCCGCCCTCCCCGCCACGCTCCGCCCCCACAGGCGCAGCCCCTCTTCCTCCTGCCCTGGTCCCGATCCTGCCAAGCGTGGGGCGGGCACCAGCCCCTGGGGAGGGCTGCGCCCGGCTCGCTGGGTTGGGTGTTCAGTGTTCGCTTTGCTGGGAGCGCAGGAGGGGCGGGTGCCCAGCCACCCCCAGCTGCGTGCCGGGCCCAGGGGCACGCGCCTAGCTCTGGCAGGTGCTGGTCCAGGACTTGCTCCCATCCCCACGAATCTCGACAAAAACGCACAGATGCTAGATAGATGGACAGTAGACAAGAAAAACAAGGGCTCTCTGAGGGCTTCCTGAGCACATTCTAATCACTTCCCTGAGCTACCCTGTCTGAGCCCGTCACCGTCCAGTGTCACCGTCCCGCGGGGGCCATCACTCTCTCCCCCTACGACCGAGACCCGCCCCATTCCCCCCATTCAGCCAGGGACCAGGGTGGAGCCAGCTACCAGCCGCCACAGGACTTGCTCACTGTGGGCACCCTCGGGACACCCCTGCCTGGTCCCCACCCCCGCCCCACACTGCCACTCGGCACCTGCAGGTCCACAGCCTGGGATGGCGGCTCGTAGTCCAGTGAGGGGCGCCAACCACGGCACCTGCCCCAGGACGGGCTGGGGGCCGAGAATGCCCTGCACAATCCGGGCCCCTGGTGACACGTAGTGTTCTGCATTGTGTGTTTCTTTAAAACAAGGGACAGTAGGAAGAGACCAGCCCAGAGGTCCTGAATGAGACTCAAATTGTGACTGGCTGTCACTGAGGCCTACGATCGCCCAGCTGGTAAACTGTAGGACCTGAACACCTCCCAGACCCCAGCCTCCCAGACCCCAGCCTCCCAGTCGCCGGCCTCCCAGACCCCAGCCTCCCAGTCGCCGGCCTCCCAGACCCCAGCCTCCCAGTCGCCGGCCTCCCAGACCCCTGCCTCCCAGACGCCGGCCTCGCCGCAGGAGGCTGACCAGGCTCGTGTGCTCTTGGCTGCAGATGCAGGCAAAGGCTCCACCACTGCCCCATCTCTGAGGGGAACCGAAGCAGCCACTGCCTGGCGGTGCACACGAAACGCCCAAATGCTCGGCCTGAGCAGGTCCACGTGGGGCAGGCAGCCCTGCAGCGACGCCGGCCCAGGCCCTCCCCTTCCCCCTGGTCTCCAGCGTGGGACACACCTGCAGTCTGCTGCAAAGAGTCCCCGGTTCCCCTGAGAACTCGTCCATTGGAGAACTCGGGATCTCAACGAAAAGCCCCCAAGATAACTTTCCAGTAGAATTTAGTGTCAAGATCTTAGCTTTGAGATTCCTGGCAACCAAGTCAAAAGGGGAAATGAGATGTTACCGAGTTCTCAGCAGCATGAAAGAGCTTGACACTGTGGATCCTTGCAGGGAATCCACTTGCCTGAACACTCCTCCGAGGACCTAACTCTCCTTCTGCACTTGATAAGCCCACTGGCGTGCTCCGCTGCAGCTGCGTCTCCCGTGTGGGGGGATAAGACAGCGTATAATCGCGTTCCGTAACTAAAAACACATAGTAGGTGCACAGTGAAGAAGCGGCAGTTCTCATTTTTCTCTCAGAAGAAGAGGATGGAAGGGGGGACGCTGGACAAGGATGGAGAGAGACAAGGAAGAGGAAGAGCACTGCACTGGGAGGCAGGGAACTCACCGTCCTGACAGTGGCTCCATGTGCCAATCAGCCCAGCCTGGGACAGCAGCTGACAGCCCCACCCACCCTGTCCTAGCCGGCCACCATGCCCAGCAGCTGACAGCTGCAACAGCCTCTCCTGTCTCCTGCTTCCTCCCCATCAGCCCTTCCTCAGTCAGCAGGAGCCTCCTAAACTCAGATCTAGCTGTGTCACTCCCCACCTAAAACCCTCAATGGCTCCCCATTGCCCTCAGAACAAAGTCCAAGCCCCACAGCCACGGCCTTCAAGGAACCCCACAATCTGGCCTCTGTCCACCCCATAGACTCAGCTCATCTTAGGTGCCATGCCAGGCCCCCAAGCCCCCCAAACACCTCCTCTTGCCCCCTCTCCTTGGCACAGCGCCCCTTCTCCTCACTCATCCTTCCTCCATGAGCCCTTCCGCCCTCCCCCACTCACGCACACCCACCCTCTCTGCTCCGCCTCCTCCACGCGGTTCGCACCTCAGTCCTTCCTCTGGGAGGTGATCCCAGTGAGGGAGGCAGAAGTGAGAAGAGCCATGCAGGGCTGTGAATGATCGTGTTACGCGTGAGCAGCTGGGGCCAGCCCGCCGGAAGCCCTGAGGGGCTGTGTGGAGGGGCCTCGGACTGGGACCAGGGGCAGGCGCAGGCTGGGCGTTAGCCACTGACCGCTTGAGGGACCAGGGGCAGCTCCTGGGTGCTGGAGGTGGCACCAGGGCAGGGCAGGAGACACTCGCATGGGGCGAGGGGACGTGGGGCAGGTGTTGCGGGAAGTGGCGTGTCCCTCTCTCCCCAAGCCCTGCCCCCAGCACCCTCTTGGTGGCAGCACACAGTAGGCATTCAGGGACTCCGCACACAGTAGGCACTCAGGGACTCCATCTGGCACGAACAACGCTTCCCAATCTTTGCTGAAGCCCACCCAGGACGGAGGAAGCTCTCTCCCTCCCTCCTGCTCTTCCCCCCCTGGTCCACTGCTGTGGTGACCGGACCCCCGCCGCCCCCAGACAGAGGAGGTGAGGAGGGCCGCCCTGTGGGCGCGCAACCACCAGCTGACTCCCCTCGGGCCTCAAATCAGACATCACTTACAGGAGTGAGAAATTAATTCCTAATTACACAGTTACTTTATCACGCAGCTTCAGTGCTAAAAGTCTAAAAAAAATCAACACAAACCCCCTACTACCTCCTGCCAGCTCCCAGGCGCTTAATTAGGTAAGTAATTTTGCTTTAAAGCAAGCAGTTCCTTCCCGAAATCGCCCCAGGAGGAGAGTGGCTGGACTCAGCCCGGGCTGTCTTCCAGAGAGAGGGGCTCCGAGTGGCCGTGCAGGGGCAGGGCCGTGCCGGGAGTGGGCAGGGCGGTGGCCCTCGTTCCTCAGGGCACAACCCCCTCACTCTTACAGAGCGGCCTCCCTCCCCACTCCTGGCTCCAGGGAGAGACCCAGAGACCCAGGCCCGCTCAACTGGTGGAGGCCCAGATGGTCCAGGATGGCAGGTGGCCACAGCCCGCGAGCTGGGACCTCAGGGAAGAGGTGCTGTCCCTGGCTGAGCCACCACCTGGAAACCCAGAGGTGCTGACGGCCACCTTGCCTCCGTGGTGGCCTGAGAATCTTGCCAACACAAAGGAAGGCGAAGTTCCCAGTGTGAGCCGGAGAGAGGTAGGATCCTGCCCGTCTATTTGGAGCACCGCCCTCCCGCCGAACCCGAATCCCAGATCTGCCCTCCGCTCTCCCCAGCTGCGTGAGCCCGTGCGCTCGTTGTCTTTGGGTCTTGGGGCCCGTTCGCATGGGGCTTCTGTCACTTGCAACTCAGATTCCTGGCTGGTCCAGAAAGGTTTCCTGAGCACTCACTACCTTATACACCTTCCCTCAGGTGATCTTCCCACTGGCAGATTATGGAACCTCTGGCAGATGAGGAAGCTGCGGCTCAGAGGGAGGCCAGGTCACGCAGCCAGGTAGCAAGGGCCCCCAGAGCTGAGTGCCCCGCCCCCGCCCCCCCCCTCGTTCATCAGGCATCAGCAAGGCCCGTGGCAACCAGCCGCCCCTGGCACAGGAGCACCCCGAGCACCCCAGCACCCCTCGGCTGGCCGGCGGCCCAGCACACGCCGCAGCACGTGCGCCAGGCCCGGCTCCCCAGAGGCCCTGTCGCCAAGGGCCGGAGCTTGGCGCTGGTTTCCAATCCTGGCTCGCTGCTAGCGCGCCATGTGACTCTGGGCGAGTCACTGAACTGAAACATGTTCCTATACAGATTCCGTACCCAGAACACGGCCTGGCACGAGCAGGAGCCAAGTAAGCGTGAGCTATTATGGTATCCCAGCCTCAACTGTTGCTGCGGTTCACACCTGCCCACGCGTCACACCGCACCTTTCTGGACCCGCCCCCAGGCAGAGTGGAGCTCTCTGGCCTCCTGTCCCCTGGTCCTCCACTGGGGGCCTCCGGCTCTGAGGCACTCTCCCTGCATGTCCCAGCTCCTAGGGCAGGGGCTGGCTCTGAGCCCCAGCGGTCCCAGAGCTCACTTGACTTGGAGGCGGCCTCCCGATGTGAGCTCGTCAAACAAACAACTTGAGGGACAAGATCAGAAAAAAAGCTTGGAGCTGACAAGAGGCAACAAGAAATGACTGAGATTCAACATCTTTCCAGGAAATACCCCGCCCAGGAGATGATTTCTGGTGTGTGGCTGATAAAAATAGGGTGTTTCCTCAATCTTTGCAAGGGGCCCACGGGGGCTTTCTTAAAATGTAATTTAAGATGTAGCTAATGGAAGGGAAGCTGAGATGCTGGAAATCACAGATCATCTGTCAGGAGGCAGCGCCGTGATGACTCAGGCTTGTGTTGGTTTATAACTAGACCACCAGCCTCTGCCGACATCCGGGCACTTAGCACACAGTAGGTGTTCAGTGGGGGTGGGGCAGAGGAGATAATAGAGAGAATTCAGGAGTAATAACATTAACCCTTGACTTTGGCCAGCACCTTAGGATTTGTGGGTCATTTCACCTATTGCTATGGTCTAAATGTGTCCCGCGAAAATTCCTATGTTCAAATCCTAACCCCCAAGGTGGTGGTATTAGGAGGTGAGGCCCTCTTGGTGGGTGATTAGGTCATGAGGGCAGAGCCCTGATGAATGAGATTAAAGGCTGAGTGCGCTGGCTCATGTCTGTAACCCCAGCACTTTCGGAGGCCGAGGCAGGAGGATCACTTGAGCCAACAAGTTCGAGGTCCACAGCTATGAACCACAGTTCGAGGTCCAATGAGCTATGGCTGCACCACTGCACTCCAGCCTGGGTGACAGAGTGAGACCCTGCCTCTGATAAAAGAAAATTCTTTTAAGAATGAGATTAGCACCCTTATAAAATAGGCCAAAGGTAGCTCGCTGGCCCCTTCCTTCATGTGAGGACTCAGAGAGAAGACTCACCTAGGAGGAAGTGGGCCCCCACCAGACACTGAGGCTGCCAGCACCTTGAGCTCGCACTTCCCAGCCTCCAGAACTGTGGGGAATAAAGGTCTGTAGTTTATAAGCCACCCAGCTTATGGTATTGTTATAGCACCCAAATTGACTATCTTACTCCATTTTCTGCTGCTATAACAGAATACCTGAGACTGGGCAATTCATTATTTTGTTTAGAAAGAAGAAATTGATTTGGTTCACGGTTCTGGAGGCTGAGAAGTCCAAGATCGAGAGGCCGCATCTGGTGAGGCTTCTTCTTGTTGTGTCATCCATGTTAGAAGGCAGAAGGGCGAGGAGGGGAAGGGGACTGAAGTCCCCATTTTCATCTGGCACCCACTCCCGAGATAACGGCGTTAATCCATTCATGAGGGCAGAGCCCGGGTGACACAATCACCTCTTAAAGTTCCCACCTCTCAACTCTGCTGCCTTGAGGATTAAGTTGCCAACACATGAAGTTTGGGGGGCACTTTCAAACCACAGCAACACCCATATTTCCTCACACAAATCCCGTGAGACCAAAGAACACAGGTTATTAAGCCCACCTGACTGATGCTCTGAAACCAGTGCAGACCAAGTCCAAAGTGCAGGGGGGATTTCGGTTGGCCACAAAACCGACCGAAGGGCTGCAAAGACAGACCCCAGGCAGGTGGGAACCAGGGCAGCTCTGGGGACCTCAGTGGCAGGAGACCCTGGACCTTCCTTCTCCAAGCCTCCACTCAGGTGACTTTACTCCAATGGCTTTACCTCTGGGTAGAGCTGCCAGATAAATACAGGATGTTCCATTAAACTTGAACTTGTTTAGTACATGTCCCCAGGTGCCCCATGGTGTCTGCCTCCCATGAAACTTAGCCCCACTACTCCAGAGTAGTCTTGGCACCACGGCAGGCAGGCACAGCAGCTGGGAACCGGCTAGGGGCTCTGGGTGGGGCAGAGACACTTAGGCTCTATCACAGCTTAGGGGAAATGCCCCTCTCGGGAGACTCACCTCTCTGCTTTCTGATCACTAGTGAGGCTTCCCGAGTCCGCAGGGGCAAATCGACAGCCATAGTTCAGCCTCTGAAAAGGCACATCCCTCCCCACCCCCACCCCCGCCCCCGCCATGTCGCAAGTGAGCATGGGCTCTGGGGGCAGCCACACCCGAACAGCTCCAGATCCGGCCCACAAAGGCCACTGAGCTGCAGTGGCTGCTGATCTCTCTGAGCCTCCATTTCCTCATCTGCAAAATGGGGCTGACAACCTTGACTTCCCGGGATTGCGAGGCTGTAACAGCACCATGGACAGAGCCCAGCCCCGTGTCAGTACCTCAGTTCTGGGAGGAACAAGGCCTGAGACTCTCCTGTCCCCACCCGCAGGCCATCAGCTGGGGCTGACCTCACACCCTGCTGGGGGCGGGCCTTGACCTTGGTCTGGCCAATTGGAGCTCCGCACACACTGCCTACAGCGACTGGTTCAGGGATGAGCACATGCCCCGCATTAGCCAATCTAAGCCAAGGAGACTCAGTTCTGGGACAGGAAAGGCACCTTTCAGAGCTGGGGAGTCGGCTGTGAGCCCAGAGCTGCCCGCTGCCACCCTGCCACCCGGGCTGGCAGTCAGCAAGGAACCAGCAGAGCTGTGGGATGGGAGGACACACAGTCTGGTGAAACATCTTGGAGCCAGCGGGCCCTGAAGCTGGAGACAGCTGGGCTGTTCAGTAAAAGAGCGGGTAAACTCACTTAAACCAGGTTAGGCTTCCTGCTCACTTAACTGAGACAGTCCCGCCTGATTCATGACTGACTGCTGTCTGGCTCCTCCGAGGCTCTCTGATGACCTCCCCCCATGGCGGCTACCATCCTGCTTCCCGGGAAACGGGCCTGTTCCGTGACCATCACCCTCTCTCCCACCCCGCCCCATATGCAAATGCGAAAAGCACTCATGCTAAGGTTCCCACTGGAAACTTCCCTGTTCCGCACCCACCCAGCAGCAGCTCGGCTTACAGGAAACAGCTCCAGATACCCTCTCCCCAACCCTTTAGCGCCTGGGTGCAATAGACAGGAAATTAACATGTCATAGAGCCTTCCCCACTGGGGACTCCCGATGACAACTGGCCTTAGCCCTGCCCTCACAGCTCCTGGTCCATGGGGCAAGCCAACCCGCAAAGCCCAGGACAAATCAGGGTGTAAAGTCAATGACAGGGCCAGAAAGGTGCACTTGGCCTCCAGGCACTTGGAGTGCTTCCCTGCTTCCAGTGGTGCACTTAGAGCCACGCAGGAGGGAGGCCAGCTCCAGAGGCTTCTGGAAACAGCCCCAGTGATGACCTTCTGACCCCTGTGACCACGGCAGGGTCTGCTGGCAGGCACTGGCCTGTGCGGAGCTTGTTCTCGACAGAGCACAGGCCGAGCTCCAGAGGCTCTGACCGGGCCTTAGAGCTGCTGGAGAGCCACAGCTTTGGCAGAGGGCAGACAAAGAAACTGAGGCCCAAGGAGAGGGATGTGGCAGACTCGGAGTGGCCTACCCATGCATTCTCTCTTCTTCTGACATTGCCGGACCCCAGGGAACAATGCTTGGTTGATTGAGCCAAGTTCAAGGATGTTTTCTACTTTCCTAGCTTTGCTGCAGCTAAGCATGGCCAGGAGACCCCGTCTAGCCAACTGTGCTAAGAAAGGGAGGATCTTGGGAAAAAATTTTGTTTTCCTGATCCAAGTGGACATGCGGTCTCTCTTCACCCTTCCTTCCTGCCTTTAATTCAGACACAACACCCACAGCTCCGGCAGCTGCCTTGTGACCATGAAAGAAAGGCCTGGAAAATCACAAGGATGTCAGCCCCCACATTGCAGAGCTTGCACCAGTACCCAGAACTTTGTGTTATATCAGAAAAAAACACTCAGGATTTGCTAGAGCCACTGTTGGTTGGGTTTTCTGTTACTTGCAGCCAAACGCATCCCTGACAAATACACTCAGCAAGTCACACAGAACAAGGACCCGATCCCAGCCGGTGCAGCCGAGCTCCCTGGGTTCAACTCCTGGCTCTGCCCCCTCCCAGCCGTGCCCTTCGGTAAGCCACTCCCTGTCCCGGTGCCCCACCTGTGAAGCGGAGCTGACCACAGCCCTCACAGAGCTTGTCTGAGGCTCGAACAAGGTGGTGCCCGGCAGCAGGCCACGTGAGCACTCAGCAAACACGCGACATTCTTATTTTTATCACACCCCTGGATGAGGCCTAAGAGGAGTCCACTCCCTTTGCTTTCTAAAGTCCCACTGGTGGGGCACTCTGGCAAAACGCGCTCTCAGCCAGCAGCCACAGAGGGGCCGTGTCTGCCTGCCCTTTTCAGAAAGCTCTAGTCCAGCGCTGGGAACAGTCTTACTCACTTCTTGCTTCCCAAGAGCCTGTAAGAGTCAGGGCGGGGAACCTCTTCCCTGCTCGCGCTCCGGAGAAGTGGCCAGGGATGATAAATCCTGGCCCCACGCCTCTTCCCAGCCCCTGGCCAAGGTGCTGAGTTACTGATGACGTTACTCCTATTTTCATTAATATTTTTCACGGAGATCCTCGTGTGGAGCCCCCGCTGTTCTGTTCACAAAGTACTTCTGCGTGTCATGAGTTACTCAGGCCCAGAGGCAGGTGGAGAGATGGACCCCTCCCGGTGCCCCGGTCCTTCCTGCGGTTCCCAAAACTAGGAATCCTGACTCCACCCTTCAGTGCTCCCGCTGAGACAGCCGAATGGACTAGAGATTCTCCACGAGTGGCCACAGGCCACCCGCACCAGGGCCACCTTAAAGGCAGAGCCTGCTGGGTGTGGATCCCTGGGCTGAGGCCCGGGAATCTGCATTTTAACACGTGCCCCAGCGAACCTGCGGCTCCCTGAAGTCTGAGGAGCACCGAGAGCCAGCAGTCTGGGGAAGGGGTGAGAGGCCAAGCACGTGCTTGGGGAACGGGGCCGTTGCCCACTCCTGATCTGCGCACACCCAGCCCGCAGCCGTTCCTCTCTCCACACCAGACCCCTCCGTGCAGCCACGGCAGAAGCTGTCAAGGGCTTTCGGGTTTAAGGCAGCTCCTGTTCCCTGCACCCATCCAAGGCGGCGCCCACTGGAATCCTTAGCGAAGATTTTAGCAGAGTAACCCAGGCCCCTCCCCACAGGTGGCAATGGCCACTTCGTGATCCTGGTTGGGGGAGGAGGTAGAATTACCAGCATGATGCGCCAGGGGAGAGATACAGATAAAGAACATCTGAAGTTCAACAGGAATGTAATTGAGTGTGTCATGACCTCTCAGTGGACTCGGGCAGGAAAGTGTAGCTTAAGTGGTAAGACGGAGGTGGGTCCGACTGTGCACAGGTAGAAATGACTCCCGGGCTTTGTCACACACCGGAAGAGTCTCTAGCGAGGTGCCATCGGCTCGCTGGCCTGGATGGAACAAGCCCAGGAAGTAAATGGAACAAGTGGCTGAATCAGGACTCCAAGAGGCCACTGTAAGATGAAATTAATAGCAATAAATGCAAAGTTTGATATTTGAGTTAAAAAAAAATCACCTACTTTTAGTTCCAGCGTGGGAGAGAACTGGTTTGGAGGGTGCATATGGCCTGGGGGTGGCAGGGAGCTCGGCCACCCAACAGGTCACCCCGATCCCACGCTTCACTGGGCAAGGGTAGCCCAATCTTGCTACCCCATAAGCCATCTCCAGAGGTTGGGGTCCTGTTCCCTAGCCAGGGACCGAGACAGCCAAAGGCAAGTCCAGTAGGTGAGGCCTCTAGACATGCTGTCCTTTCACAAGTGGTGGGAGGGCTGGGACATTTCATCTGGAAGGGGAAACTCAGGGAGGACAGGAGCCACCCTCCAACTTCTGAAGGGTGTCAGTGACACCCTCCCCACAGCCTCTGACGCTCCCCGTGTGATCAAGCCCCTACCCCCTCTCTGGCCTCATCTCTCGGCACCTACCCGTGGGCTCCAACATTCCCCTCTGCTCCCCCTCCCCCTTCCTCAAACACCCCGCCAGGCCTCCTGCATGCTGCCCCTACCTGAGATCCCCTTTCCCCCCACTCTGCCTGGCCAGCTCTTACCCCCCAAGTCTCTTCCTCAGGGCAGCAAACGCTGACTCCACAATCAGAATCGGGTCCCCGGGCCATGACCCATGGGCCTGGACACTTCCTTGCAACAGCCTGCATCCCAGCTGGGAATTTAGCTGTGAGGATCTGCTTTGTCTCTGTTTTCCAAACCGTGAGCTCATGAAATCACAAAGAGCATCTGCCTTGTTCATCTTCACGTCCCCACTGCCCAGCACAAGGCCTGGCATGCAGTAGATGCTCAATAAATGTTGATCTCATGAGTGAATGAGTGAATGACTGGTACCTTCAGGTGGGAGCCACAGGAAGACAAATCTCAGCTCAGTGGAGGAAAGAGTTTTCCAGCACATCGGCCGTCCCAGGTTGAGCCTGGCTGCCCCGTGAGCTGCTGAGTTCCTGCAGTGCAAGCAGGGCTGGCCTCTGGTCTCAAGTGAGCCTCCTGTGACCGTTACTCTGCGGTGGGGGTGAAGGCTGTGACCTCTAAGGAACCTTCCCGCTCAGAGGTTCTATGTCTCTCTCCAGCGCTTGAAGAGAGAGCCAGTAATTTGGGGAAGGGGAGTGGCAGGAAGGGAGCAAGCATCCCTGGGATGTCAGGCCTGTTACTCTGGAAACAGAACATTTATAGCTCCAAGCCCGGGTAGCTGTGGGGACAGGTCTCGGTTGGGGGCAGGACTGGAGGGCTGCGCTCTGGAGCCCCGGGCTGTGACTTTCCATCCTGCCCTCTCTACCCACGCCGTCCCTAGACACAAGGGATGGGGACG